CATGGACAGATTCCGCCGGTTCTCGCCGAGCCGGCAGCAGGACTTGCACTGCCAGGTCCTGCTGAAGTAGCAGCACCACCGCCCGAGGCGCCAGCAGCACAATCACTTACGCGACTGAGAGCACCGAGACCCGGCTCGAGAGTTGGACCCACCGCGAGCGCAAGCAGTCACGACATTACTGCTGGAAGACATGCTGCTGAGCTTGCTGCAGGGCAACCTGCCTCGAGTGGAGCTGGCAGTTCGAATGGCCATCTCCGACTGCCACAGGTTCGAGCCAGACGTGGTCGACAACAAGGTGGGAAAGCACCTCCACCACCACCAGCGGGGAACTCTGCTGCACGACCACGACTACCAGACTGGTCACGGTTCGATGTACAAATCAGTCTACAAAGCCTGCGAAGCCTTGACCCAAGCGCGGTAACACGCGAGTTGCGAAAGCTACACTCACGCTGGTTCCATGCGAAAGGAGCCCAAGATGAGATTCAGTTTAAGCAAATTAGATCTGGACAATGTCAGATTCAACCTCATTAAGGGTGTCTGCGACAAATGCCGAGCATGCAGAGCTTGGGACAAACCTGGACACACTGTTATGTCATCTACTGCATTACCCGGTAAATTAAATGAGGAAGTGGAATGCGATTTGATGTTTTACAAACAAGAACACAATATATTTCACATTATCGATCGCTGTATACGATATGCTACTGGGATTGAAATACCAGACAAGACTATGGCCACTATCCTGGATGCATATCATCAGTGCTGGATGCAGTCTGGACCGGCCAAGGTACTTTACTCCGATGGAGAAGATGTGCTTAACAAAGACATTGCGAAATCAGTCCTCAAGGCAAAAGGCATTGAACTTAGAATACGTGCGCGTGGACAGCACGCTACAACGATCGAGGCCAGAAATGGCATCCCACGTCATTTACTTCACGCCATGGAGGCTGAATTCAATAGGTTAGACATACCTCCTGTGTTCACCAGACTACTGCACGAAGCCTTGTTCGCCGCCAACGCATTTTCCTTCTATAACGAAGTGTCTCCATACAACGCTCTATTTGGACGGCAACCAGCAATGCTCCCTGACCTCCCTGTTGTGGGCCACGAGCAGCCGACGGAAAACATCATATCATTATCGTGAACAGACGATACGCAGGGTATGTATTGGAGCTATCACACAGGCCACGGCAGTAGCTAAGACCAATCGTGCCATACGCACTAAGACGACACTTACCGGTCAGCACTATTATGACGACGGAGACTTGGTCGACTACCATCGCCCTACGACCACGAAGGATGACTGGGGAGGGTGGAGCGGCCCGTTCCCAGTCGTAAGGAATGAGCCCGAAAGGGGTCAGGTCATCATCCGAGTAGGCAATCGAGATGTTCAAGTACAATACGGCGATGTAAGACATTCACTATACATTGAAGCACTCATAGCCCGAGAGATTGGCTCCGACAACACTGCACTACGCACAGCGTTGACATTCGTAGCCAGCCTATCAGCGGGGAGACCTGCTTTGACATTTGGCTATGTGCCGACCAAGAAAGGTACGCTTCAGATGACGACTGCAAGTCGCCTATCCCTTAAGGTACACTTGGCCTTACAATATCTTATCAGAAACTTCTTTCGCATTGAGAATGTAGTTTCGGTCAGATTAGCCAAGAGTATCCATAAGCTACCTCCGGTTACTTATGCCGCCAGCTGCACATATGGTCCATTACGACAACGACGTGAATCGAGGATTCCATCACTACGAAGCAGAAGGTACTGCTCTGAATATATATATATATATATATATATTTGTATATATGTATATATGGTATAACTGGATCAGCGCATTCACGAATCATCCAATGCCTGAAGTCCATTAAACCTCAAGCAGGTTTCGATCAGGACATGTCAGAATTTGAGGACTTGGCTGATGCGCCGACGCCGGAAGGAACCACAAGAGAAGCTTCAGAAGCCGAACCAGCACATGATGACGGACGGCTCTCTACGATTTACGAGGAATCAGAAGCTGATCTTGAGTCGCATGTCATGGAGGTGCGGCACGCAGAACTGCCAGAGGAAAGAAAACTGTTGGAGGCAACTCCACTAGAGGACCTCCTTACCATACCCACACAGATGGTTCTGGATCAGAGCGCGCTGATCATTGTAGCTGATGAACAGTGTGGACACCTGCCGAAGTGTGGACGCACTCACGATTCCGATGCCGAGGAGACGTGCTACTCCCCCCTGTGCACCATGGTCGAAGACGACAGCTACGGACTCGACTCAGACGAAAATGGTCGATACGTTGAACTATGCTTTACGACAGAAATGTCGAAGGTAGTCTTGTCCGAGCAGCAACGCATGATATTAGATGCCGACCGGGTGACCACTATGCGAGTGTACGTTACCGCCGCTGCAAAGCGAGCCGTGGTCGTCAAGGAAGACGATCTCCTCGCTAAAGCTGACATTCAGGCGAATCCCGATAAAGTATCGAAGGCCCTCTTCACTGAGCTCAAGACATGGTTCGATAACAAATTCTGTAAGATGCAGGAGATAGCCAAAGCGTCGAACATCATGACTTCGAGATACGTGTGCACATGGAAATTCGTGAAGACCGAAAATGGCGAGATGGAACGTGCCATCTGACTGCGCTTGGTACTCCGAGGCTTCATGGACCTTGAATCTTTCGACGTAGCAGCACGTTCGGGAACAGCAAGGAGGTCAAGCCAGAGGTTATTCGCTAGCACAGAAGCGCGCAAGAAGCAGTGGATCATTGCTTCCCTCGACATCAACATGGCCTTCCTGAAGGGATTGACCTATCAGGAACTTGATGAGGCTACTGGTGAAAAGGAACGCGTGGCGTGCTTTACTTTGCCGCCTGGATTGGCCACTGTGCCCCGTACTCTTCCAGGATTCGAGAACGAGGAGTTCGAGGCGATCAACAACTTGCTCACGGCCAAGCATGTTGATGACATTAGTATGGCCGGTACGGAGGATACCATTGACAAATATGTCAGATGCTCAAATGCGTGGAAGATACTTTCGGTAAGTGTAAACTTAACAAGCACACACATACTAACTGTGCTGTGAGGTACACTAAGGACGAAGACGGGAATGTTACCTCGGATCAAGGATGAATGTGTTGAACAGCTCCGTCCTATACGACATCCTGAACTTACCGGCGCCGACGCTGACGCTCAGGCATCCCGGATGGTTGCAGACACGCTCGTCAGCCTCATGGGCGCGCTGGCGTATGCATTAATCACCCAGGTGTGGTTAATGGTGTATGTTGTATCTGCTCAACGTGTCCAACAACCAACCAACGTCCAAGCGCGACGACTGAACGCGATCACCAGGAAGCTGCAGGCCTGCCCAAAGAAGATCGTCTACCAGGCGATGACCCCTACGGGCGAGGTTGACCTGCGCAGCGACACAGGATACCGACGCCTGAGACGTCAAAGGCTATGGTATTCGCGGGGCAAACCTGCTACGCCGTGGAAACAAGTCATCTGGTAAACCTGTCGTTCACTTAATCGATGCGTACTGCAAGTCTCGCCGCTTGCAGGTCCGCTTGAGCTATTCAGCAGAGATACTAGCAGCAACCCATAATTTGGAGGACTGCTATCCCACGATTGTGACTCTTCACGAGCTCCACGCAGGGCCGCTCGCGCCCACTCAGTTGAAAGATATACTTGAGTTGGGTGGCCTGAGCATCAAGGTCACTTTGACCATAGATGCTGAGTCTGTTTTAAGTCCTTGTCCAGCAAGGACGTGACGAAGCCGACTGAGTGTACCGTTTTAGGACACATCAGTTGGATACGACAGAGGATGGAGCGTGGAATCATGCACAGCATTCAGTGGTGCGACACCCGCGCCACGACTGCATATGGTCACACCAAGGGGAGCATCGACAGAGAAATGCTCCTACAAGTCATGGGAGGTATACAGGCCTTCAAACATGACCTGAAGAGTCATACTCCATATCGAGCCGGCCAGACATCTAGTCCTGACGCCGCCTGAGGAGTACTTTAAGTACAGAACTGTGCAAGTAAGGCAATTTGCGAGCGGGTCCACCTTCCTTTTGGCCCGCCCCTTTTCTGTCCTTGTGTATATTAACTGCTGCGCCTGCTGTGTAGGGGCGACGGGCTCACGCCTCGTCTCCCTCCCCCTCCGACTCTAAAGCGAGCTAAGGGACGTAAGGAGCGGAAGCGAGCGTGTGCCCGCGGCCGCGTCGGCTCAAGCGGCCGGCCGCTAAGATATGACTGCGCCTCATCGCGAGGCACACGATTGCTATCGGGACCAAGAGGATCTTCCTATTGCTTAAGATGGCACATCCTCTCCTGGTGGGACTATCGTTTTTACGGTACAACAGAGCTGGAGCTTGGCTTCGCGTAAGGCGAAGCTGTTGGCTGGGCCCCCCAGCCCCCTTCAAACTCCTGGACCGTCGGGGACGCCGCGATGCGAAAGTCACGAACATGCTGAACACATTTGTTCCCCCTTAAGGAACGGAGCGACTTATGACTTTAGCGGGTCCTCTGGGGCCTTTCGAGGCGTCTCGCAGGCCATCCAGGTCTTTCTTGGAGCGCTTTTGTGCTGTTTTGGGCTTTTCTGGGTCTGCTGGCAAGGCCCGGCAAGGCGCTTTTGGAGGCATGGAACGGCCGGTGGGCGTTTTTCCGAGAGCGCCCAGGGGGCCCAAGAGCGCTGGATCTTGGGAGTCTGGGTCTGGCTGCGGGGGCTGACGGGTTTTGGCCCCCCGCCCAAATTGTAAACATATAAGGAAAGGAGTGCGTGTGTATGTATGTATTTACACACATACATACATACATACATACATCCATCCATCCATCCATCCATCCATACATACATACATACATACATACATACATACATACATACATCTGTATGTGTATATATATATATATATATATATATATATATATATATATATAGATGTTTCTGCCTCTCCCTTTCTATTTGCTTTGTTCGCGCCCTTTATTGCCAGGTATGGCCATTTCAGGCGTCCAGGTGATTGTGTAGTCTGCTCACGCAAAGCACAACAAAGCGTGGCAAGGGAGGGCTTCTTGGATGCAGCGCTCCGCTTTCCTGCTCCACATGGTTTCGACAGCTTTTTCGCAGTGAAGCAGTTATTGTTATTGATTTTGAAGGAGGGATCTTCAGGGAGCGATTGGTTTCGGTGCTTGGTGCAGGTGCCCGCGTGAAATCTTCGACGCGCGCTTGCTGTTGTTTGCAGGAACTTGGACGGCAATCGATGATTCGATTCATACAGGTGTTCGGACAGCCCACGTCGAATCAACCCATGATGCCTTCGCGTGGGCCCCAAGCAATTAGTGTAGTATTCGGTGTGGAAGAGTGGAGCCCTCAGTGTGAACTCGTGTGTGCGTGAAGCTTTCTGTCTGCGAAATCCCATGTGTCTGCGGAGCCCTATGTATGAGGAGCCTTATATGTGAATTCGTATGTTTGTGGACGCGCATGTGTGTGGAACCCGTGTTTCTACCAGAGAGTCGACATCGAATTGAACACGAGCGATTTCGAAGCAGTGCGCAATCCAGAGGAACCCAGAGAAACCTGAGCGGCTACCAGAGACTTTACCACCCTAAGCCACTTACTCACGGCACAAGTAAGAACACCTCAATGCAATTGTGTGTGGAACATATCGGGCAGATGGAGGTGTTTGTCATGGCCCGAGTCTGCATGAATTGTTTGTGAACGCACCGTCTGCAGGCAGCGTGCCTCTATGTGCATGCCGATCTCACGACCCATTGTGTTGGTATCGTTTGACACTCTGTCGGAGGGGCGATTTACGAGTGGGGTTACCGAGTACTGCGCATGCCATTTTCAACGCGCGCTTCGTAGCCATTCCGCCATGATGCCACTCAGTTATCGAAAAGCGTTGTTTGTGCTCCACTGCCGACCTGTAAGCGGCAAAAGTGGTTAAGATGACGTAGCTGGTTGATTTTCACACTCCAAGCTTCATAGCACCAAGCATGTGTGTACCATTAGGGGGGGGGCGACGCCAAGTCTGGAGGGAACGCAATGGCGCCGTCGACCCAGCCTGCATTCAAGCTTTTCATATTTCTGCTACTCTGCAGAAGAGGAGTTCGTTGTGTTTGCAGGTCTCGCGCGAGATGTCGTATCATTTTGCCGTCTTTTCTGGGCGAGAGAAGCCGAAGCGACGAACCTCTCTTCTTTTCTCTCTCTCTCTCTCTCGCTTTTCTCCTCCCCTCTCATGCGGTCAGACGAAGGACAGCCTTCTCCAAGTGCGAGTAAGAAGCGACGCAACCTTCCGTAGCTGCAGAAGCGGATAATGGCGGGCAATTTTGCGAGCAGCATTTGTTGGATTTTGTGTTGGGCAGGCATATCGGCCATACAATTCAGACGCTGGGGTGTGTGGAGGAAAGCGACGTTGATTATGTGATATGATGGTTTGAAGGGTGGGGACAGGTTCTGATCTACACGTTGGGGCTGAGAGACATTAATAACACCCCGTTGATATATTCACGACGCTTCGCGTTCAGCACCCGTCCACACCCTGGATACGCTTCTTGCGTTGCGACTGGCTCGCCGTCTGCTTCTCAGTTGGTCCTTGTCCCCAGTCAGCATGTGGTACCCTTCAGGCTCCATGGATCGGTGCCCTCTGGACTCCCACTGCTGGACGGCTTCCTACCGCGACCTTGGATCAGTGGCTTTGTGGGACTTGCCTGGGTATACACGGTCTCGTTCCGCCTGTGCTCTCCGTCTCTTTGGACTGCACTGTGACACTGTGTTGTGCACACGCCGCGTTTCGACGGGAGCGTGCATCAGGTGCCCTTCCACCCGTTGGGGGGTCTGGGCCGATACGTCTTGGTGTGGTAGTCTTCTCGGATCATGGATACACCTTGATGTCACTGACGCCGCGGCTCGCTGCCGCCGTCGGGATCCTCGTTGGACTTACCACCCCGACCTCTGTGCTACCCGACAGGCTGGGGCTGGCGTCCTCGGTCGTTCCCTTGTCCGCCTTTGGACGTTGGAACGTTTTCGCGCCATTTTGGCTGCGATTGGTGGTCTCGGTGCCTACCTCAGGCCTGTTGGACGCACCTGCATGCCCGTTCAGGGGCTGTCATGGCACCTGGATTGCATCTTCTTCGCCTCCCTGGACGCTGTCGTGAGCCGCCTGATCCGCGGCCCTGCGCGCGTTAGGTAATTTAGTCGCGTCCGCGGCCCGTTCGCGACCTTCCGCCGCTGGCGCTTCCGCCTGCGGCTGTTAAAAAAAAAGTTCAGCACCCGCCCATTTGGATTTATGGTGGAAGAGCAGAATAGCGCCCCAAGACGGGATGACGACAAGCCGAATCAAAGACGATCCCGCAAGTGTGTTTTGCACCGTTTTCTACGCTCCGTTCTCCTCTATGGTATCGAAGATAAGACTCGCGTATGCAGTGTGGCTGGTTGACTGTTAGACGATCGTCTAATCGTCGGCCCGTCATCCGTATCGATGGGCAACGGATTAGTGATAAGAATATTGTTTTGTAGTTGGATGTTTGCGACCTGCTTCTCCATGTCAGGAAGCAAGGAATGGCCATACTGATGCCCAGCAGTTGTCCCAAGACGGCCTGATGGCAGCTAAAGAGGCGCCAAGAAGGGCAGCCGAGGGCCCTGAGATGGTCCAAATACCGGCCAAAAATGGCCCGGCCAAATCCATGCCAGGCAAGTATCGTAAATGCGGAGCTGCTCTGAGATTCCGGGTGCTGGGCATGGGCCTCCCAGGAGCTGTCTCGATTCCGTCCCTGAGGCCAGCCGGGAGCTTGGGGGTCAATTTTGGGCCAGCAGGGCCATCTCAGAGGCTTACGGAGCGCATCATGGTTCCATCTTGAGCGGGCAATTGAAACATGCAACACAAAACATGCAAAATGTCTTTGAGAGTCATTTGGGCGGCATCTTAACGATTCTGGGAGAGCATGGGTTTCGAATCGATTCCAATGTTTTTGTTTCAGGATGGTCTTGTCAGAGGGAGGACGACGCAATCCGCGTGTTCCAGTTCCAAGGAAGACGGGAACGAGGAGGAGGGGGGAGGAGGTGGAAGATGTGGTGCACGAGCAGCAGCGCGGGAGTCACAGTGAGCTCCCAGGGGGATAAGACTGAGTACCACGCAGATCTCCCAACAAGACGACGCGCGTGCGGCCGAACAGTCAGGCCCGTCTTGGGGCCCAGTTGGGGCCTTCATGGTCAAGCAGGCCATGAGCTGCGCGTGGTGCCCCGAATTTATGACCAGGCAGGCCATGTGCAGCCAGCTCCTGAGGAGATCGGCCATGGGCTGCTCGTGCAGCCACTAGTTCTTGGGGAGGCAGGCCTCGAGCCTCTGTGGCTATCTTGTGGGCATCGTGGCCCATCTCCCGGATTTGGCGGAGCCTCTTGGGCCGTCTTGGAGACCACCGGGGTCCATCATGGGGCCATTTTGAGCTCAAGAGCTGGAGCCACTAGAGCTCAAGAGCTGGAACCACTAGAAATCCACAATATCTAGAACGGTTTTGACAGTTTTTCTGCGTGAGGGCGCCAGTTCAGAGTTCTCTTTCAGTGAGTTTGATTTGGCCCTATGTAGGCGAGAGGGCGTCAAGAAGAAGTCGGCGCACTCTTCACGCAAGAATATGCGTGCTCGAAGGGATGTGTGCAACATGCGTCTGATATCTTTGTTCTTGACACGTGTTATCTCGTGTGCAAGCCAGTGGCAGAGATATTCGACAAGCGTATGGCATGTTTTTCTGGGAACGAATTGTTTTCCCAACCCCGTGAAAGAGGACCCTGTGGACGTTTCTATTTGCGTCCCAATGGCCACTTACACAAATTATGCAGTCTCCCACCGATGTGGACGCCATCAGTACTGCCCACCGACCGCGGAGTCCTGTCGAAACGACCCCACCGAACCCTCTGGCCAGACATGCCAGGGCCCCTCTGGGACCTGGGTCCGCTCCGACATATAGGCATCAAGCGAAGAAGTATTGGTCTTCTCACTGCGCAGTATTCATTCCATCGTCGACTTTCAGGGGCTATTTTGGACAACTTGTTGGTACTCAGAGGTGCGTTGAGGAGCTGGTGGGGCACCTTCTGCTGTAAACGCGTCTTTGACTTCCAGGGAAAGGGACCAGGGGGAGAGGAACACCCAATACCCTCACTCGCCGTCTCACCCCTGGCATGCGGGGGTCGGCAGATTTTTCGTTGATTGTCTTTCACATTATTTTGATACCTTTGCTGTACCTTGCGGTGGGCTGGGATGGATTCTTGGCGCCGTTGTGTTGCATTGATGTGAGGGATACTCGGGTTTATCGTGCATATCCCACTGGTGGCATTACACGATGGGGCAACTTAAGCTGACGGTTGGGCAATCAGGAAATGGTCGAGCAACCAGAGTCAGAATATCTAGTTGTTGCGGGGGGGGGCAGAGATGCGACATGGGCGCGGTGTGGCACGGACGCGGCCGGGTTTCGGCATGCGGCATTGGTGCGGCGCCTGTGTAACACCAAAACGGCATTTGCGCCAGACCAGTGCGGCAATCGTGCGACAACAGTGCAGCACCGGTGCAGCACGGGCGCGGCACTGGTGCGGCAGTAGTCCCGCGCGGATGCCCCATTGTCGCGGTACGGGTGCGGAATTATTGGGCATCGGAGCGGTAACAGTGCCGTGCGCCACGGGTTTGATGGTTGGTTCTTATACTCTGTTAACAGCTCAATGTGCTTCCACGGCCCGAAAGTGTGATCTGTTTCTCAGTGATATTCAGCATCGCACGTTTGATCCCATTCTTTGACAGCTGAATCCAACGAGCGTGTGTGTATGTGTGTGCCACTTGGCTTTGGGGCACTGGTAGATTACCTCTTTTGTTGTTGTTGTTGTTGTTATTGTTGTTTCCTCTCTCTCTCTCTCTTTTGTTCTCTCTCTCTCTCTCTCGTTCTTGTTCTCCCCCAGCATATATACATATGTGAATACACGTCTGGCAACATGTGACATATTCATTATTACCTGTCTTCTGGTCCACTAGCCACTGCGTTGAAACTCACAGCTCACAACTAGTGGCGTTGTCATGTTTAGTATTGCCATGGTTGATGTTATAAGCGGTGCATTTCTTCGCACAGCCGTTGCTTCCCCTTGGGGTGCTACTTGTTGTTGCGAGTTTCGCTTCCACGACACAATCGTCGTCGGTATTGTGGTTGATGTCTGACGGTAGATCCGATTCATGCACTCATTTTGGTGTTTATGGGGGGAGGCGCAGTCAGAGGTTGACATGCAGGTGAGAACCAAGACGCCAATGAATTCTGCGAAAAGTCAGAAGCAGACTTTGGTCGAAGCCGGCATTGAGGTGTGCGATGTCGACATTATGGCGCGCCTCTCCTCCGTATGTAGATTCAGCATGCGTGCGCGGACCGCGAAATTGCTAGAGATTGTATGCTTTATGTAGATTAATTTGTCGAGATCATTGGTAGGCAGTGATTTTCACAGAGCGTAGCAGCATGTGCCATTATGTCGTATTGGACATCTGAGTTTAAGCCGTGATGCCAACATTCCGCTTCTGCTGGCTACTTGGGGCGGCCAACGAGCATGGTCGCAACTAAATGCAGTTCTGTACAGCATATTTGTGCGTCACTTGTACGCCTGGATTTGTATGCATTTGCGGCAGCAGCCAGAAAGCGCGCGCAATGTCTCAGGTCTCGCAGATGGAATGCCAACAGTGGGAGTTGTTCGCACATGGCGCAGATCAGCATTTCAAACCCAGAGTCTTCGAACCTGGGTCCCAGAGCTGGATCCCGAAACTTCAAACGTTATCTCAATTGTGCAGTTTGTTCCGGGGGGCGAGTTGCGTGTGAGTGGTCCTTGCTGGTAGTGCTCACCTTGCGACCCAAGGTGCGGATGTGGTTTATTCTCTGCAGCAGGGAGCAGAGACACGCGTTCTTCTTCTCGTGCTCGAGGCCGCTCCTAAAGGGAGGGTTGACACGACAAGACTCGGCGGCGAGCCCAGGGGGGAATGCAGAGTGGGCGGGCCTTCTCAGAAGGCTCGGAAGGCCTCGGGCCTTCTGAGAAGTGTTCTAAGCCTTGTCCGAAAACAGAGACGGCTTCTCAGAAGGTCTGAGGATTTCTGCGAAGCCCCGCCGACTTCTGAGAAGGTGTGCACCTTCTCACTTCTCCCCCGGGCGCGCCGCCGAAAGACAAGGTGGTCATCATGACAGGCTCTCTGCTTGCACTGCACGCTCACGCACGCCAGCAGCCAGTGCAACTGGGCTCGGCATTGCGAATCAGATGGGACGGTTGCAGCGAGCCGTAGAGCATGGAGGATGGTAGTCCATGTGTTGGGAGGCATATCTGTTCAATTAGAACCAACGGAGGGCACGGCCATCAAGCTTCTATCGACTGATACTCTGACCAAAGATGCTGCGACGCGCGAGCGCCACGCGTAAGCCATCGGCTGCCTTGCGAGCGCGGCCGCAGTTCCGCCGATCATGTTCGATCTCAGAGCTAGGCTGCGGCTGTACCGCACGCTTTGACTCACATGTGGCAATATTTTCATCCTGTGTATATGCTGAAGGTGTTTCTGCATATTGATCGGCTGCTAATGAGGTATGCTGTTTGCCAGCATTCAATACGGGTTTCACCGAAGGCAGGTCTGCTGCACGATCACAGTGCTTCCTCCGATTTCGTTGTATCGCTACGGGCGTGAGGCGGCCGGGGAGGACAGCGCATCTTGCAGCTCTGGGCACGCTGCATTATCTACCCGTGGCGCTGCAGGAACTGAACCATGATGTTCTTTGCTGGTGCACCTGCCAATGTAGATTGATGCAGCACTGATCATACAGAACATGCAAGACATGTTGAAGTGTTGATGCAGTGTTGTTGCTAATTTTCTTGCGTGTGGCACTTCCAAGGGGATGAGTTCAACATTGATTCATGGCACTTCCATTTACTCTTCCAGCACGCGGCTCACGCGTTATCCGTGGATAGCTTCGCAGGAATACGAGAAGGCTATTGAGCGGAGAGGAAAAGAAAGGAGATGAGAAAGGGAACGGACAACATCTGAGACGAACAAGCCAAAACGATCAGAGTAGGACGCAGATCTTCAGAATTGCGTCACGCATCTGTCACTTCCTACTACTAGGGGCAACAGAACTTGCACAGTGGCTGGCGTTGTGCAGAGATCTTGAAGCGCCCCCTGCATTTTTCTAAACGGTCTATTTGGGCTGGTTTCGTCAAGTATTGGCCCTCGAGGTTGCTCGCTGCAGTCGCTTCCTGCTCAGAGCAATGCCACTCAAACGTGAGCTCGCGCTCGCAGTCCAACTAGATGCCTCGTCGCCCCCCGTTGGAAGTTTGCAAAGAGCCTGCGCCGAGGGCACGCCTCCTGCCATAGCTGCACGCGCTCGACGGGCGGCAGCGAGGCGGCCGGAGTCGGAGAGAGATCCAGGCAGGAAGACCCAGGGGGGGGACATGCACGGCTGGAGGCCGAAAATTCTCGACGACGTCGGCGCCGGAGCCATGGGGGGGCCCCCGAGGCCTCATGTCTGCCCTGGCCTTGCCAAGGCTCCTCCAGGAGCGCTGTCCCCGCCGGCAGGGAGGTATGCGCCCTGGTCGCCCCGACGGCTCCCTCCCGGCGCGGCTGGACTGGAGCCCCTCGGGCAACCTAAACGCCAGTTCCGAAGGTGTTTGTCAGCGTGGGCCCCAAGCGAGGGGTTCCTGCACTCTGAATTTGTAACAGATGGGGCGCAGGCAATTGGATGCAAGCTATCGGGTGCAGCCTATGTGGTCCAAGCTCCAAGCATTGTGGTGCAAGCTATGAGGTGCCATCCATGTGGTGCCGCTTATGGAGCACAAGCCATTACAAACCATTTGAAGTAGTCAATTCCAGTGCTCGTCTTGAACTCCAATGCTCGGGCACACTTCCCAGCCACCCACAACTTGTTCTACTGACGTAATGACGCGAGGACGCCTCTCACACTGATCCATGACTCGGGCAGGTCGAGTGTTGATACCCATGATGGTGGCGCTGATCACGAGGACAACGACGATGACGACGACGATGACGATGATGTTGATAACGACGGTGGGCATGATGACGATGACGATGACGATGGTGATGAAGATGGTGGTGATGATGGTGATGGTGGCAGTGTTGATGTTGGCGATGATGATAACGGTGGATATGATCAGGACAGGGCGCCATTGGATCCCCCTCCAATTGAAAAGGGGGGTTTTGCTCGCAAGTACCCCGCCCCCCCTCCCCACTCTAAAGAGGAAGGGCCCCCCCTTTCAAGGTGGGGGGGATTTCGGACCCCTCTCCCCCTTTGCGCCGGAGAGGTGGGGGAGGTTTTCGGACCCCCCTCACCCCTCCCCCTTTGCGCCGGAGAGGGTGTTTGGGGGGTGGAGAGCTTAACCCCGGAATCGGCCCCAAATCCGGAATCCGTTCGGTCGAAACTTGGAATCGACCTCAACAGCCTCACTCGGAATTCACCTCACTCGGAATTAGCTTCGAAAGCCTGAGTTCCACAGAAACGCGAAACCCTGAATTCAGATCGGTCAAATCGGAAACTCGTGTTCCTTTCTCTTCTCTATCCTTTCCTCTCGCCCTCTGTACTTCCTCTCCGCGACCCCTCGGCGCGACGGCGGACGATGACGGACGAGTACGACCGACAACGACGACCGCGCGCTCGCGCGCGTCGCGTGCGCTCCCGCTCTCGCTCGCACACCTCCGGCCACTGCTGCCTCCCTGGGCGTTCTCGCTGGCCAGAGTCGGGTTCCCCTCGAGTTTCCGTCGGAAGCCATCTCGGGATCGATGCCGGGGGCCAGATCTCCGACGTCGTGAGGAGATTACGACCGGAGGTTTTTCGGCGTTTAGTTGGGGCCCTCGGCGGGCTCATGGCTCGTCAGAAAACGACCCAGGACGAAGAATTGGCTCTAGAGAAAGAGTCGGGACTTCTGGGGATCCCGCTGCCACGTGCCCAGTAGAGCAGAGTAGTAGTTTTGTGTCGGCCCCCGCGTGTTGTCGCGCGACATTTCGAGTGGAGCAGTTTCTTTTCGCCCCGTGGCGTTGCCGCTCCGCGCGCCCATCAGCCCGCCCAGGCCTGCCCTAGAATTGAGAAGAGAACTCCGAGCGGCCGATCCTTGCGGAAGATTTCAACATGATGGTATCGAGTGGAGCATTTTCATTCGCCCAGCTCCCGAGGCGTTGCCATGCGGTGAGTGGAGTGGAATGCGATCCGTTCCTCCCCGCGGCGTTGCCACGCCAGGAGTAGAGCGGAATTTGTTTCACCCCAAAAGCGTCGCCGCGTGGCGAGTAGAGTGGAGTGTTCTGTGCCTCCCCAGGCGATGCCACGTGACGAGTAGGAGGGAAATCGCATTTTTTCCGTACCTCGGCTTTGCCACGTGGCGAATCGAGCAGAGTAGTCGTTTTGTTTCGCTTCCCGTGCGTTGCCGCGTGGCGCGTCGAACGGACCAGGTTCATTTCGCCCCGTGGCGCTGCCGCTCCGTGCGCCCATCGGCCCGCGCAGGCCTGCCCTAGAATTGGGAACTCCGAGTGAGTCAGGGCTGCCGATCCGCGCGGCAGTTCTCAAAGTCAGGGCGTCCAGTGGATAACGATTGAAAAACAGGTGCAAGGGAATTGCGCCATTATCGTCATTTTCGTTGGCTCCTTTGAGGTCCAGCGGAGTGGGTTGTCACGCGCTCGCGCGCAACCCATCGAGTTCTCGCGGCTCCTGGGAGCGTTGCAAATTGCGCAAGTGTCGCCACTTTCGTGGGCTGGGGTGTTATGCACACCCCGTGGAGATCTCGCGGCTCCCCAGGAGGGCGAATGGCGCAATTGTCGGCGCTCACGTGGGCTCCTGTGAGTTCCAGCGGAGTGGGGTGTCAACCCTCGTCGAGACCCTGCGGTTCTTTTGGAATTCCGGCTCTGCGGGTTTGGGCCGGAGTGGATTCCATTGGCTTTTGAGGGATTCTGGGTTTGGGCTCCAGATTCCGGGTTTTGCCGGAATGTATTCTGGGTTTCGCTTGTTTGGAAATTCTGGGTTTCACCTCGAAAAATTCGGGGCCGCCTGCCGACCAGGAGGTCAGGGGGGGGCCGCTTCTATCCCTCTGCGCTGGTTCAAGTGTTCAGATTAGGGTGTTTGGGTCCCAAGAGCCAAGAGCTTGCGCGGACCAATCCCATAAGGTCGACCTACCCTCTTATCACGTCAGCGAGGTCTTTCATCCTCTGCACCTTCGGACCACAGCTGGGCCGTCTCGGGGCGATCTTGGGGCGTGCCTGGGTCCTCCTTGTATCTCTTCCCACAAGGTCGACCTCCTCAACAATCTGAACGCGCCAACGCGATCAAATCCGTCTGCTCCTTGACGCCTCCTGCGGTGAAGATGAGGATGTGGATGTTGCTGCTGGCGGCGACGGCGAGCTTGGGAACGCTGGGGGGGCGATTAGAGCGTCTGGGAGCGTCTGGGGGCGCGTTGGAAAGTCTGGGAGGCCTGGGAGCGCGGTATGAAGATGACCCGATGTTTGTCTGGCGGTCGCCAGCACGGGTTTTATTGTTGATTGTTTTTCCCTATTGCGGCTGCCGTTCAATGTGATGATTCTGGTGGTGTTTATACTTGGTGGTTTGGGATGATAGCGATGGTGACCACTGGGGGCCAGGATGATTATGATGCTGATGCTAATGGTGTTTGGCGATGCTGGCGATAATGATGATGCTTACGATGATGATGCTGATGATGATGATGCTGGCGATAATGATGCTGATGATAATGCTGATGGTAGTGATGCTGCGGATGGTGATGCGGGGAAGTTGGTAACACATGCGGGCCGGGCCCGGTTGCGTTCCATGTTCTGGGCTTCCGGTCGTCGGGCCACAATAGGTTTGAAACAAGTAGCGCGACCTCCTTGAGAAATGATCCGCTTGCGTTTTGCTCCCAGGGCCCAGTGCGCGCCCGCCAAGGCCTTGCAAACATTTGTGCGTTTCCATCCGCTTGTGTTTCCTCGTTTGGCTGGGCCGGGCAGCCCAAAATGGCATCGCCGACGACGCATCTTTGCGCGGCGGTTGCCAGGCTTTTGTTTTTGTTTGCCGTGGTTCGAGCTGGAGGGTTGGGATGGCTGAAGTGTTTGGCTGAAGGTGGGTGCCGTGGCTGGGATAATTTCTAGTGCTGCCTGTTTTGTTCTTCGCCGCCCACCTGTCGGGCCGCCTGTGACCCGCTGGCGACCTGCCGCGACCCGTTGCCGCTTAGGATCACCCCCCGCAGGGACACGCCCCGAGACCCACTTGCGCCACGCTTCACGGCCCGCCCGCGAGTTTGCCTCCTGGTCCTCATTGCGAGAGGCGGCGACCTGACGACGATCCGCCCGCGGTCCGCGCCTGCCGGGACTCGCGACCCGCAACGCATATTAAGTGTTTCTTGAATCGGTCCTCATCATTATATCTGCTGGTTTAGATTCAATCGGAAATTAACCTGAACCTACAGCGGGATGTCACGATGGACAAGTTGAAATCAGTATGCCGAGGTCAGCTGTGAAAGCTCCGAGATGTGCGAGGATTTCGAGACATGCCACATGCCCGAAGACGAGAGTTCCATGCTCGGACGTGCCCCCCGTCACCCCCGACACATCCCGGCGACGCGTGCTCCGACTCGGCAAATTTGGAAGACCCAGATTCCCAGCCAGACCCTCGCCAGGCCGATGGAGAATGACCTCTTAGGCTGCGGGCCCAGCGAGGGAGCGTTGAGTTCATGCAAGAACTCCGAGCCCTCCTACTCGGTGTAGGGGCATGCGCGTCGCCGCCCGCCGCCTCTGCGAGGACGCGCTGGCAGGACTTTCGCCTTGGGCCCAACGAGCACTGAGAGAGGGGAAGGGGCGGCGCGTGTAGGCCGCTTTTCGTTGGCAGGGCTGTGGAGGAGGAGGAGGAGGAGGAGGAGAACGGGATGTAAGGAGGACGAGAAAGATGATAACGGAGAAGCAGGAGAGGGAGAGGAGCAAAAGCGGGAACAGCAACAGGGTAACGAGCAACAGTAGCGCTGGCAAGAGGAAACAACACCCACAACCCCCCTCTTCACCCAGCGAAGTGACAATGTTTCCTGCACCTCGCGGTAGTGTCCCAAACGCAAGATGGGAAATTTGAGGATTGTTGGGATGGTTTAGATTCAGTAATCCTCGTAATCCGTACCCTTTGAGCCTTATTAGCTCCCCTTGGGATACGTAGGAATAGTGGAGCGTCCTTACTCCTTGTCTTGCTTGTATCATGCGTATTTCAGTTTCCTCCGGCATCGTGTCGTTATCATACGAACGCAGTTCTTCCAGAGCCAGTGTTGACTATGTGTGGTGTGTTGTATGGGATCCCTTGCAAAGCCTATCAGTGCTTATTTTATCCGTTGCGAACCAGAATGCCTTTTGGTGTGTGATATTGTGTATCACGCGTGTTATTGTTAGCGGCATGCTGATGCACAATATGCGAAGTAATGTTACAGTCAATGCGCCCCTCCCGCACCACCGATCTTTCGTCCTGCCTGCTCTCTCTCCTTGCGCGCGCTGCCAGCCTGCTGTACTGACTGACTACTTCTGCTCCCGCAGCTATACGACTTTGGCCCCAGGGAAACGGAAAAGGAGCGAGCCTGCGGCGCGCGCGCGTGCGTCGGCCGGCGGGCCGGCCTCGTCCCTTCAGTGCTACCTCAGTATATGTTTGACGGCATTATCCCTTCTTCCCCATGTCATCTGCGGAGCCCATCGACCATGATATATTATCGGAGTGCCTTGCAGGGATTATGAATATCCAGGCAAAAGACTGGTTATCAGCCGAAACGACGGCACAGCCGTTAGCTTCGCAGAGCATGGGATCACAAGAAGGAGCGCTCGGACGAACAGAAGAACGAAGCCCTTCCGAGCGTAACGAAAGTATATGCGCCGCAACGTGGCGACCAAATCCTCTCGACCTTCCAAAAAAGAAAGCACCATAGACTGTGCTTGACTTGACAGTAGAGGATTCATCGGTTGATTCAGTGACAAGATCCAGAGAGCAAGCCCTGGGCGGAAGGTATGGCTGGCACAGCCAAAGCTTCCGCCGAGGGGCCAGCTGAGTTGGTGTCGGTACACCTTGGCTTTCAGCCGTCGACCGACAGATATCTTGAGATGGAAAAGTTGTTGGAACACATCCCCATCGAAATGTCGGGCGCCGGAAGCTTGGGCGCAGAGCATGCGGTGCAGTACGCGCTGTATGGACAGAGTGAGGATGTGAGCGATTTACAACCTGAGGGTGATAGCTCCCATTCGATAGAAAAGACCGAAGAATATGCCCGATTCCAAACCTCGCCTGGCCCATCGCGTCATCTCGATCCTCTCCCTGACCGGTGTGTAGGTCTCGCCTCTGGCTCAGACCCGTTAGTACATATGACGATTGACCACATAATGGTTGAGGCCAGTCCGAAAGCCATCCTTGATTCGGACGATGACCTTGAAGACGGAGGGGGCCCAGACCAAGGGTGATGCTCGTCGGCACAGGCGATGTCGAGCTACCCTGACGTAGTGCGTGCAGTGAGAAATGCGCGAGAAACCACAGGCATGATTCCCCATCCGCTGACGAAGAAACCGAAAGGTGAGCACGATGACTTGGATTCCTCGCCCTTCCTGCAGGGCTTCTACAGACCACAGTCCTCGCTGCCCAGGACCAATAGGGACAGGGTACCAGAACTTGATGGGCTCGTGATGCAGGACGAAAGAGACGAATTAGCAAAGAGTACGTACGGCCAGAATGGCGCCGCGAGACCCGGAAGCAATACAACACGTAGCAAAAATATAGATTTCACTACTCACCCCCACCGTCCTTCTGCCCCTCCCTCCCCGTTCCATCCTCATTCCCACCACCTTCACCCCGCTTTTCATTCTTCCACGACTACACGAGATGATTACTCCTATATCCCCTGACGACGTCCGGAAAATATCCGGCCCCCTCCGCGTATTGTTCTTTATACACAGGATTCCCTGGAAATGGATTTTCGCTTGGGTTCGTTTGTCAAAATGTTGTTCCCGCTGCAGCGCGGGCGTTTGCGGACCTTCCAGATCGGCTTCAAAATCATAGACATGCCCGCCGAAAAAAAACCATCGGAAGTGTCGATTCGTTTGTCTTCTAGGCCGCAGAAGCCCCCACCCACTTTGCGGCGTCGTCGTTTTCAAGAAGTATCAAGTGGGAGCTCCGCTGCCGCTTTGAGAAGGCGATGTTGGAAGCAGAGCCAGCGGGAAATTTCAGGGGACCCCAACGAACTATACATGGAACCGCGACTCCAGACCGGCCCAGACCTCTCAAACACGATCCATGTATCCTCCAAGGGACCCGGGACCATACCATGACATGTTGTGCGGTGTTGCGTTTTGCGCCGCTGTGCGATGCCATGTTTTGCTTTGTAACGTTTTGTGATGCAATGCTTCACTGCGCAAGGCCGCCATGCTATGGCCTGATACGCTCTGCCGTGCTCTCCTACGCCATGCCATGCCGCGCTCGACCATGCATCGCGTACCCTATCCCGATCATTGGCTTGCTCGACATCCGACGGTGCAAATAGAGACGATATCTACGCCATGGTAAGGGATGGGAAGGAGGGGTAGGACGTCCGATATGGCGCAAGCCCACATGGGTTGTCCTCCTCCCCCTCCCCCTCCCCCTCCTCCTCCTCCTCCTCCTCCTCCTCTTCTTCTTCCTCCTCCTCATCCTCCTTCATCTCCTGCTCCATGTTGGGGAGCAGGGAAAGGGTGAAAAGGAGGGGAGGATGAGGAGGAGGTGGAGCGGGGGACGACGGAGCAGGAGGGAGGAGGGAGGGCGATGAGGAGGAGGAACGGGTGAATCATGAGGGAATGCGGTAACGAACAGAGGGGTGATGATGATGATGATGATGATGATGATGATGATGATGGTAATGACGATGATGATGGTGATGGTGATGATGATGATGATGATGGTGATGGTGATGATGATGATGATGATGAGGAGGAGGAGGAGGAGGAGGAGGAGGAACAGCAACAGCAACAACAACAGCTTAGCCCTCACACCTTCTCCTACTCCCCCTCCTCCTCCTCCCCCTCCTCCTCCTCCCCCTTCTCCTCCTCAGCTTCCTCCGTATACATTTTGGCTCAAACCGAGTTTGCTCAAATGAACCACTTGTGCCCGCCAGTTGGCCATGACAGCCGCGGGGCCCCACTGCAGCCCACACCAGGCCGTGGGCTCCCTGATTTTTGCGCATTTCCGCTTCTCCGCCTGCGAGTGAATCACAGACTTAGTTATTCGTTTTGTGGCGAGGGTGGCACACGCCTAGCAATGCGACCTCTGCCTCTCGCAGCGAAAGCAGTGGTTCGCAGAGGAAACGTCGCCTCCGCCACGACAGACGAGAAGGCCGACGTGACCGACGGCGCGACCGCTCCTCTTCGCGGTCCAGCGAAAGCACCCCCCGGACGGACAGCCCAGGGGACCAAGCTCGACATCGCAATGCTCCTATTCCTGTTGCTGGCGGTCACCGAGGCCCTGGCTCTGCAGACCCCCTCGTAGGTATGTCGCGACAGGAACGGGACCGCTTTGCCGCTGCTATTGACTTGGCACCTACGTTCCCTGACCACGAACGGCCGCAGGCACGTGATGGCGGACGCAGTGATCGACCAGATCCACTTCATGGGGCGGTTGGTCCGTCGCGTCAACGTCAGCGACCTCGGCCTCTGCAGCTCTATCAAAAGCGGAGGGTCTCGAATCGGCTGTCAATCCAGCCTTCCAACGGCAGCTTGGGGAGATGCGCGCGGAAATCAACTATCACCAGGACCGCGCACACCAGCATGCGGGACACGGTGCTCGACCTCTTGCGCCCGCAGGCCGCGAGGTTGGACGCTCACGATAGGACATCATAAAGCTCCAGGACCAGACGGGCAGCATGGCCCAGAACCAACGAGAGCTTCGGCAAGACTTGGACGCTGTGCAGCGTTCTCTGGCACAGGCACAGGCAGCCCAGGACTCTGCGATCGACTTGGGCAGGCTCGCCGCGCACGACCGACCGCCCGACCCGAGCGTCGTCCGCATCGGCTGCGCCCAGCCCATTGCACTCGCGGATGCTGAGCTTTGCCATTGCGGACTGGATTAAGGACGCTGATCTCGACAGCAACCATTATGCGCTTCATGGTGATTGTCCGGGCAAGCTTTTTCATCTGCACCTACTTGGCGCAACCGCTGGCGTGGCCCGAGCAGGCCGACTTGCCCAGCGCTGTTTTTGTCCTGGAGGGACATGCCGTCGCTTCACGGCGAAGTCCGTCGCAGATGCCCAGGGCGCGCTCTGCGCCAACCCTGACAAGAGCCCCATGCAAGTTCTACGAGAGGTTCATGGGAAGCGGCCCCTCAGCATCCTGTAGCGCACTTACAGGGGCCACTACTGGAGGTTGCTGTAGGTCTTCCCGCAGGGCGTGGGTGAGCCCACCAGACTGGCCTGGTCGCCGCAGGCCGTCGCCGAGCACGACGTCGACTTCCAGGGCGTCCGCGCGCAGTTCAAGCAACAGCTCCATAGTGTGGACACAGCAGCATGTACGTTATCCTAACAGGCACTTCCAGCCGTTGGGGATTGGCAATGGCGGCCAACGCGGTCTACGAATCGCCTCTTGGAGTGCACGCGGTCTTTGCCGCCGGCATCGCACGCTTCGCCGTCCGCAAACGGGCCGGATCATGCATCTTCTCGGACAGCGACATCTGATTATCCTCCAATAGGTCCACGGCAATGAGATGATGCTCGCCACGCTCGTGGACCAATTGCCCCGGCACTACAGGCTGTTCTACTCAAGTGACCAAGCCAGCCAATAAGAATCCGATCGTGGAACTCGTCAAAGCACGGGTGGAGTAGCTATCATTGCCCC